CATTGCTTTGATATTACATTAAATAAATATACAAAGATAGACATCTCTGAGCTCTCGAGCTCTGTATTGCTATTTAGCTCTTGCTCAAGTTTTTCTATGATTATCTATATTCATGGCAAATAAATAGTAAACTGCCCAGTTTGAGGAACGGAAACTCTTTGAATTTGGGTGTTTGGTATATTTTGGCAACATTTCAGCTTTTGGCAGCTTTCTTTGTCGTTAATTTCGATATACAGCGGGCACACTTTATGTATCAGATTATAGTTATATTAGTCTTACTTATTGTTTTTTTATTGCAAGATTTGTATGTTGCCAAATATTGAATGAAACATGTCTCATTCCAGTTTTCTCAAGGGAGATAATAGAGCAAAAGATATATAAAATATAAATACAAAATCCCCAGTTTTGTTGATTTTGTTTTATGTAAATACTTTTTAATAGAGTTACATTATTTGCTTACTGTATTCTCTCTCTCTCACACACACACACTCCTTCTATCTGTATTTGTGGCTTTATCTCAAACTCCTTGTCTTGTTGTTTTTCCATCTATTCCTATGTCTCACTCTTTCGCTCTTCCCTTGTCTCCATCTCTCTCTCTCCCTCCCTCTCTCTCTCTCTCACTCTCTCTCTCTCTCACTCTCACTCTCTTTCTCACTCTCTATTCCAGTTGATCCATCACTATCTTTGCTTCTTACTCCTCTCGATAGTTCATGATTAAATAAAAGGCTCTATCTCTCTTTCCTTCTCTCTCTACTCTACACACACTTACATGTCTCTATACTTAAAATCACAGTAATTATACATATATACCCTACATTGTCTGCAAATTATAACTGGACTATTCAAACTGGTTAATTAATTATCCGTTAAACACAAAAAAATAACAAAGGCCTGTAAATATTAACAAGCCTTTAATACAAAAATATGCATATTAAAATTTAAAAAATAAATGAGGAATAAATTATTGCACTCAAATTAAGAACGCAAACACCGAGTGTTGTAAGTGTAAACAAGTTGTATAACTATATTAAATTAATTCAGTAAGCAAAAAATATACATATATGGAGAGCCAAAAAAAAAAAAACAACAACAACAGCAAATTTCCCTTGCAAACTGATGTATTTTCATGTTACACACACAAGGCGAGCGACGATAGAAATGAACTCGTGTCGAGTTGCACGGAAATGTTTTATAAATGTTGCACAGAATATGCTCCGAGTCTCAAATGAAATCAGTTTTCGGAATTGATTTGTTTACTTTCGAAGAGCAGGAGATACTCTCCATGTGCAATCAACGATGACTAAAGGGGAATATGCTGTTTCTGAAATTTAATTATGGGCAGCTGAAATTTAATAGTGCTATAAAAGTGGATATTGAAATCACTATTGAAAATTATTAGTGGCTCTATTCACAATTGCCAAAAATAATATATTTGTTTTGTTGTCAAATATGTCAATAATATTTCAATTTCAATTGAAATATCGCTACGAATTACATCTCAATTTGAAATTTACCTTTTTATTTTATATTTATTATTAAATAAAAGCATTTCTGTTTGCTTTGTGTTGGCTGTAAAATTATTGTTGATATATTCAAGTCAAATATAATTTAAAGACAAATATTTTTCCGCTTGATTTCGGCTTCTGATGAAAAACAAAATTTGCATTTTGGGTTGAGCTTAATTCGATTGAAATAATATTATATCAAATAATATATTTCTTGGAATGTGTTTGTATTGTAAATAAAAGTTAAATACAACAACAATGACTAGAGTCGAATTAAATTCTCATAAATTCATTTTAGGAAAAATTGCACTTTTAAGTGAAATATAAATGTAAATTCATTTTCATCAAACCAAGCTTGATTTGTATGTATGCATATGCATATTTATATACGTATGTATGTCTGCACATATTTGTGTGAATATATATTCTCTAGTGACTTTATATCATTTCATAATCTGGACGTGTCAAGCTCTTCTCATCTCTATCAGCTTCGAATGACACACGCTCGTATTTGCTTATATGCTATGAATGGACATGCATACACGGATACGGTCGAACATGCACATATATGCACACATGCACACATGCACACATGTATACATGCATGCCATGTATCCGCAATATTTCTGTTGTGCGGCAGAAAATTTGCGCTATTAATATTTGCATTGCAACAGCTACGCTCCGCTTTACTCCCCACTTTGCCCCCACTACTCTCCCACTTGTCCCCCACTTTTCAAAGCTTTCACTCGCCGGCCGCATTGTCGCTTGACAATGCCAACGAGCCCCGAGCAGATGGGGACGAAGAACGAACGAAACATGAGCAGCTGAGCTTGTTGGCAACGATGCGTATGAGAATTTTTATGCGAGCGTCACTGAGTGTCTATATTTAAAATGGCTCAAGCGGCACTTAACTTCGCCTCAGCCCATTTGGCTGGCTGCAGCACAGTGGGACAGAAGAGCTATATTTTGGACAGAGTTTTGTTGGCGAAGCAGTTAAAGAACAAGTATGGAAGGTATAAATATATATAGAGAGGAGTGTCTGAGTAGAAAATACATTTAAATCAATGACAATTCAAATGTAAAGATCTTATAATCATTGTTAAATATGTAAGAAATCAAACGGTTTGCCCGTCAAGTCAAGTTTTGTAGTCTGTCTGTTTGTAGTCAGTCTGTTGTTTGACGAAAATAAATACATTAAATTATTATTTCATAGTATTTATTTTATTAAAAATATTTTAATTTGATTTTGTATTGAATTTTAAATATATAAAATTATTATTTCATAGTATTTATTTTATTTAAAAATATTTTTATTTGTTATTATTTATATGGGTCATTTTATTTTTAATCAATTACTGCATACAAAAGTGTTGTGTTTAACATTTTTTAAATTTAAGAGTCCTTTTCTACTTAAATATAATTATATTTTTATAATATGGGAATTGATTCTTTAGAGTTTAATATACATATGGGGAAAAGTTTATATAAAAACCTCAAAAAACATTTTTATCTGGGTTTGTATTGAATTTTATGCAAATACTCATTTTTCATTTTTTTGTAAGCTGACAATATAAATTCTATATTTGTTAAACATATAATCATTCTGTAGATGCAATTTATATAATAATAATATTAATCTAAAATATAATACTAATAAAAAATATATAATCAATATTTATATGAAATGCATTAATTATTTGTCGAAAATGTTCTCCACTTTGGCCCACCGTTAAAGTAGGTCAATATTCATGGTATACTTTAGCGCGTCACTGCTGGTTGACAAAGTTTATACGCTTAATCGCATAAATATAGCTTAAGGTTATTAAAAATGAGGCGTTCTTAAAGTATATCGCACAAGAGATAACGAGCTACCGCCCTCTAATCAAGGCGTTTCATTACTCAATAGAAAATGCTGGTCGATCATTAAGAAAACAATCATGTATAAAAAAAAATACATGATTTAATGTTTATTATAGCAGGATTAAGTTTCAGCGCATGCTGGTATTTTTTTTAAAG